CAAGTGGGATTTATCCCTGGTATGCAAGGACGGTTCAACATTCACAAATAGATCAACGTGATATGTCACATTAACATACTAAAGAAGAAAATATATATGATTATCTCATTAGATGCAGAGAAAGCATTTGATAAAATACAGCACCCTTTCATGATGAAAACTCTAAGCAAATTGGGTATAGGAGGAACATTCCTCAGCACAATCAAGGCAATTTATGACAAACCCATGGCCAGCATCCTATTGAATGGGGAAAAGTTAGAAGTATTCCCACTGAGATCCGGAACCACACAAGGATGCCCACTCTTGACATTGCCATTCAATATAGTCCTGGAAGTTTTAGCCAGAGCCATTAGGAAAGAAAAAGTAATCAAAAGAATTCCAATTGGGAAAGAAGAAGTCAAACTACCCCCATTTGCAGATTACAGGATTCTGTATATAAGGGATCCAAAAGACTCCACCAAGAGGCTATTGGAACTCATAGAAGAGTTTGGTAAAGTAGTATAATATGAAAATCAACACACAAAAATCAACAGCTTTGTCTACACAGAGAATGCCATGGCTGGAAAACATCTTCTAAGATCAATCCCTTTCACAATAGCTAAAAAAAAAGAATAACAAACAAATATGTTGGAATAAATTTAACCAAGAATGTCAAAGATCTCTATGATGAGAATTGTAAAACATTAAAGAAAGAAATAGAAGAATATGTAAAAAATGGAAAAATCTTTCATATTCATGAATTGAAAGAATCAGTATCATCAAAATGCTCATTCTTTGGACTGGTGCTGTGGCATAGCAGGTAAAGTTGCTGCCTGCAGTGCCAGAATCCTATATGAGCAACCAGTTTGAGTCCCAACTGCTCCACTTCTGATCTAGCTCTCTGCTACAGCCCGGGAAAGCAGTAGAAGATAGCCCATGTCCTTGGGCCCCTGCACTGGCTTGGAAGACCCAGAAGAAGCTCCTGGGCTATGGATCTGCAAAGTTCTGGCTGTTGCAACCATTTGGGAAGTGAACCAATGGATGGAAGACCCATTTCTCTCTCTCTCTCTCTCTCTCTCTCTCTCCTCTCCTGTGTAACTCTTTCAAATAAATAAATACATCGTTACAAAAAAATTCCATTCTTCCAATTTACAGATTCAATGTGATACCAATCAAAATAGTAAGGACATTCTTCTCAGAGTTAGAAAAAATGATGCTGAAATTTATATGGAAACACAGGAGACCTCAAATAGCTAAAACAATCTTATACAACAAAACAAAGCCTGGGGCATGACAATACCAGATTTTAAGACATACTACAAAGCAGTTATAATCAAAACAGCCTAGTACTGGTACAAAAACCAGATGGATAGACCAGTGGAATAGAATAGAAACACCAGAAATCAATTCAAGCATCTACAACCAACTTACATTTGCTCAAGAAGCTAAAACCTATCACTGGAGCAAGGACAGTCTCTTCAACAAATGGAGCTGGGGAAACTGGATTTCCATACACAGAAGCGTGAAACAGGACCCCTACTTTACACCTTACACAAAAATCCATTCAAAATGGATTAAATATCTAAATCTATGAACTGATACAACAAAATTATTAGAGAACATTGGGGAATCCTGCAAGATATTGGCACAGGCAAAGAGTTCTTAGATACGACCCCAGAGGCACAGGCGATCAAAGCCAAAATGAACAAATGGAATTGCACCAAATTGAGAAGCTTCTTGTACTGCAAAAGAAACACTCAGCAAAGTCAAGAGGCAACCAACAGAATGGGAGAAATTATTTGCAAACTATTCAACTGAAAAGGATTAATAACCAGAATATATAAAGAGATCAAGAAATTCCACACTAACCAAACAAACAACCAAATTAAGAAATAGGCAGAGGACTTAAACAGACATTTTTCAAAAGAGGAAATCCAAATGGCCAACAGACACATGAAAAAATGCTCAGGATCACTAGGCATCAGAGAAATGCAAATCTAAACCACAATGAGTTTTCACCTCACCCCCATTAGAACAGCTTCCATACAGTAATCAAGAAACAACAAATGCTGGTAAGGATGTGGGGGGAAAATGTATCCTAATCCATTGTTGATGGGAATGTAAACTGGTAAGACCACTATGGAAGACAGTTTGGAAATACCTCAAAAATCTGAATGTAGACCTACCAAATGACCCAGCCATCCCACTCCTGGTAATTTATCCAAGGGAAATGAAATCAGAAAATAAAAGAATTAGCTGCACCTTCATGTTTATTGCAGCTCAATTCACAATAGATAAAACATAGAATCAACCTAAATGTCCATCAACTGAAGACTGGATAAAGAAATTATGGGATATGTATTCTATGGAATACTACATAGCAGTAAAATAAAATTGAAATCTGGTCATTTGCAACAAAATGGATGAATCTGGAAAACATTGTCCTTAGTGAAATAATCCATCCCCAAAGGGACAAATACCATATATTCTCCCTGATCTGTGATAACTAATAGAGCACCTAAAAGGAAATCTGTAGCAGTGAAATTGACACTTTGAGAAGCAATGAGTTAAACAGCGCTTGTCTTGACTGTAGAGGAACAGTTTTTTTTCCTAATGGAGAATGGGACTGGGAATGGGAGAGGGAAAAGGAGGTGGGGTGGGAGTTGGGGTGGGAGGGCGGCTATGGTGGGAAGAATCACTATATTCCTAAAGTTGTGCATATGAAATTTGTACTCATTAAATAAATGGTTTCTTTGGGGAAAAATAAAAGTTAAAAAAATCACAACCATGTCTTTTCCAGTCACTGTGCAAGTATTATGTATTCTTTGTTGCTGAAAACAATTTCAAGGATTATTTTTACTGCTCATTTTTGTGAATATTTCAGACAAAATGCTCTGTAAAAGTTAAAACAGTTTATTCTACACTTATTTGATGCCTCCAGGAGAATGTGTTTAGATTCAGAGACCAATTATAGAGAAAATTTTAAAAAGCTGTCCAAAATGTACTCAACGACTTTGAACCATATTAGATGATGAATAAATGAAGAAATTAAAGATATTAATAAGGGAGAGTAGAGACTACTTGTAACACAATGGAAAAACAATGTTCTTTAACATAGATATTAGACATGCCACATTTTATATCCAAAAAGAAGAACTCAGAGTAAGCTACCTGGAGACCAATTTTGGCCAATGTAACTTTAGTTAAAAAACAAGTAGCATATCTTGATCAGAAGAACACTCTCCTATAAGAGAACTCAAATGTAGAGTCAGCGATCAATGAAACAGACGTTGTGGAACAAACTTGAACACCTGATATTCCATATTCCTCCACCAGAGAGCCTTGCACATACATGTTGATTGAAATTTATTTAAATAAAAATAGCCTCATAATTTTTGTAGACTGAGTTTTTGGTAAACATATCTGAAAATTTGAACATTTATAATAAATGTGTATGAATAATAAGGAATAATATTTTCTCCACTTCATTCCATCTTCAGCCTTGGAGCAATCTACAAATATTTATTAGGATAGCAAAAAAAATTGATATACATTCAAAATAGAAACAAAAAATGTGTAGGAAAATCTACTAACACTAACAAATTTTCTAGTAATTTTTACCCTACTGCAAAAGACCATTTGTGTTTCAATATTTATTGAATTTTCAGACAGATACTGCTATTAGAGCATTTAAGTTTCATATGTTTCACTTTTTGCAAAGAAAGGTCTTTAGAAAATGGCTAATGAACCTATAATTGCTTCATGTCTTTCTCATTCAAGATTAATGTCCAGCCTGTATCTTCTTACATTCCCAAAATATCCCAGGGCAACCTTTGCCCTGAGAACATCCTAAAACCAGAGAAGAACAAAATGTGCATAAGATAAAAATCTGTTTATACTGTACTATGTATTTTAAAGCTAAAAGAAAAAAATTATGTTTTCATCATAAAAAATGGTATTTGAGAAGCTAGATATATTTACCCTGGTTTGAATATTATACAGTGGGTACATGTTTCTGAATATCACATGGTATCCCATATATATGTACATTCTTCATATATCAGTTAAAAATAAGCTTTTAAAAATAAAAACCAAGGCCGGCGCCGCGGCTCACTAGGCTAATCCTCCGCCTTGCAGCGCCGGCACACCGGGTTCTAGTCCCGGTCGGAGCGCCGGATTCTGTCCCGGTTGCCCCTCTTCCAGGCCAGCCCTCTGCTGTGGCCAGGGAGTACAGTGGAGGATGGCCCAGGTGCTTGGGCCCTGCACCCCATGGGAGACCAGGAAAAGCACCTGGCTCCTGGCTCCTGCCATCGGATCAGCGCGGTGCGCCGGCCGCAGCTCACCGGCCGCGGCGGCCATTGGAGGGTGAACCAACGGCAAAAGGAAGACCTTTCTCTCTGTCTCTCTCTCTCACTGTCCACTCTACCTGTCAAAAAATAAAAAATAAAAAAATAAAAACCTATTGAGAAGTGGCCTATCTTAAGTGATTTAGCTATAGTTATCAACATATTTAAATAAGATCCTTGAATTTTTTATATAATCCTTTGGGACTAACTTTACTCTTCCATAATCACCAGTTGTCAAAATTAATAATTCACTAAAAAAAGTATGAATGATGGTATACTTAACAGAAGAAAACAGGACTCTATTCTTATGTGTCAGTTTCAATATACTTGTGACAGTTGGTGATCCTGTGAACCTGTGAGGTAGCAACTGAGAAGACTGAGTGACTGTTGTGATGGTGAGTTCATGATGGAAACAGGAAACTCTATTCCTCACTGGACATTTTTGGAATGTTCTCTTCTCATCAGACACAAAGCAATGTTCCAGAACTGTGGATTGATGTGAAATGAAAGATAGAAAGAAAAGCACTATTCTGAAAGACAAACCCCATAATGAATAAGTCATGGAGATCCTTTACCACCCCGTATGGCCTAACCCCCCAGGTGCTGAAAGATGGAACAGTGGAGAGTGACATCTATTATCAGGATGGTTTGTGGGATGAACCAATCTGTCTCATTAAGTGCATTTGTCTCATAAGCAAAAGGTGGCCTGTCTTCCCAAAAGGAGCAAGCCAGGTTGACTCTGAGAAGAGGCAATGGAAGCTAATATCCAGTTCATGAGAGTTTTCCAGGCAATGCGGGCAGAGATCAACCAGTTAGAGAAAGAGAATCAAGCTCTCCGGATGAAACTGACTTTGAGTGGTCAGAGAGCTCTGAGCTCAGAAGAAACGAGAGAGGAACAGGGAGAGGATGGAACTGAACAGTCTCCAGCAGCCCTTCACCGTGATGTTTCCACTGATGCAGCAGCAGCTATGCAGGGACACCAAGGTACTGAATGTCCATAGCTCTTCTGGGTAAATGCCCATCTCTGTATCTCTTCTCAGTGGTAAGGTTATTGTGACCATCACGTAACTGCCTTATGTGGTACTAACACTTATGGGACTCATCATTTTCCTAATGGTAGATTAGCCCTAGATAAAAATTTCTTTAGCATCTTCAACAAACACACTTTAGGAACATTATAATTAGTTGCAGATGTACCGGGTAAAATCAAAATGACATTAAGAACAGTGTGTTTTTCCCTCTTCCACTTCAACCATTTAAATGCTGCAAATAGAACACTGAATGTGTGGAAGTCAAATGGCATGCTCACTTATTAAGCCACAACAGTATTGCAAAATGGGTGAGTGTATGGATAGTTAAAATCAGACAAACATGATTGCCAATGATTTGTTACTCGGTCACTTGATTCAGCTAGTTATGAAGCCTCTTTAATCTTCATTTTCTCCCATTATATCTGTTGTGAGAGTCAAGTGCAATAATATGTAATAAGACTCATGACAGCACCTGGCAAACACACAACAAATGGAAGATATTGTTGCTTATCCACATTTTCAAAGCATGTTACTGTCCTCTAGGAACGTATGTTGAGTCCAGTTCAGCCTATCAGACAGATTGAAGTTTGCAAGGCACAGGGTCAATGTTTTTATATATTCTTTTTTTTTTTTTTTTTGACAGGCAGAGTGAACAGTGAGAGAGAAAGAGAGAGAAAGGTCTTCCTTTTCTGTTGGTTCACCCTCCAATGGCCACTGCGGCCAGTGTGCTGCGGCCGGCGCACTGCGCTGATCCCAAGCCAGGAGCCAGGTGCTTCTCCTGGTCTCCCATGGGGTGCAGGGCCCAAGGACTTGGGCCATCCTCCACTGCACTCCCTGGCCACAGCGGAGAGCTGGAGTGGAAGAGGAGCAACCGAGACAGAATCTGGCGCCCCGACTGGGACTAGAACCCAGGGTTCCAGTGCCACAGACGGAGGATTAGCCTATTGAGCCGCGGTGCCAGCCTGTTTTTATATATTCTAAAATCCAAATATCTTACCTTTCGTGGGAAAAGCTTTTTATTCTAATGATTATACATAAGATCAGAAATCAGCAGAGAAAGAAATACATAATACATTTAACTTGTCAATGCTTGCCTGCACACAACATATTCAAATAAAATTGACATACATAATCAAGTACTCAAATCTTGCAGTATCACCTGTCAAAGGCTTTAGGCAATGCCATTCAGAGGATTGACTTGACAATGGAATATGTCATATCCCTCCATCTTGTCTCTCTGTTAAAAATGCCCCTCTCTACTGTGGGGATATTTTAAAGTTGGAAGCAGATTCCAGTCAGGATCTTTTTCCTTTCTGTCAGGTACAACTCTGAATCTGAGAAACCCTGAAAATTGATCCTATAAGGAAGTTATAAATTCTCTTGGTGGGGAAAAGGAGACACTTACCTTTTTAAAGCTTTTATTTAATGAATGCAAATTTCATAGGTACAACTTTAGGAATGTAGTAGGTGATACGTACATTTTTAATGTAACCCTTGTTACAGGTTTTCCAAACTTCTGCGCTATTGACATTTTGAACTAAATAATTCTTATATTGTGGAGGTCAGTCCTAGAAATTGTAGATATTCGGCAGCTTCTCTAGCCTTTACCCAGTAGATGCTGTAGTATCCTTCTTCTCCAGTTGTGAACATCAGAAATGTCTCTAGACATTGCCAAATGCTGCCTGGGAAAGCGGTTGTATTAAGGCTGGTGGTCTGACAGGAGGTTAAGCTGCTACCTGCATCATCACATACTAGCACTGGTTCCCATCCTGACTGCTCCACTTCTGATCCAGCTCCATGCTAATGCACCTGAGAAAACAGCAGAAGATGGACCAAGTGGGGACTCAGATGGGAGGCCCAGATGGATCTCACAGATTCTGGCTTTGGCCTAGCCCAGTTTCAGACATTGTGGTCATTTGGGGAGTGAACCAGCAGATGGAATATTTCTCTCTCTCTCTCTTCCTACCTACCTACCTGTCTTGACTCTACTTTTCAAATAAATAAATAAATGTTTTTTAAGAAAAGAGTACATCTCTTCAGTCTGCACTTGAAAACCATTGCCTTGCTCCAAATGTAAACAGCTCTCATTCCAATCTATTTTCCAGGATGCTTATCCTAACAAGAAATTAATTTGGGTACTAGTCTAACTCTATCTTATTCCAAATAAAGTATTGCATTGTTCAAATAATCAAGAATACTACCCTAACCTCTCTAGGTCTGAACATCAATCTTAAAGGAGATTAGACTATTAACAACAGCTGAACACATCATGGACCTCACACTTCTTCAGCATCTGATTGATTATTTCCTATAAGACTGTTAACATCAGGTTCAAAAAGGACTGGTGGAACACACTTGATGAAATTTTGGCAACATTTGCTGATTGCACCAAGGAAACACAGAAAGAAATGTGATGTGATTTAAATTTGTGTTTAGAATCCCAGTTGAATTACTTTAAATGATATTTATCTGTTTATTAATGTGTGATGTGCTATTATAAGAATAAATGGCATAAATAGAAAAACATGTTTGCTCATGAAGATATGTGGGCTGCACTCTCAGTTTTGTAATTGCTGTTCAATGCTGGGCAGGCCACATAGCATTTCTGATCCTAAAATTCTCATCTAAAATTGATGGATTGGACTAGATGTCTTCCAAGGCCTCTTTAAGCTGTACGGTTCTATGATCCTATGAATATAATATGCTTTTCTGATCACTCTCCTCATCTATAAAATGAGGACAGTGGCAGAACCTATATCATAAGGCAGTTCAGAGGATTAAATGAGATTATGCAAATGAAACCCAACCTTGACTCAGTGGTAGTTGTAATAAAATCACTGGATAGGCCAGAAAAATGTTGTTTAATTTTAACACAGTGTTGCTGTTATCAATTGAAGTTCATCTTTGAAATGGAATCATAGACATCTCCTTCTAGATAGGAATTTTAAGGATCATCCAAACAACTCCTATATTTTACAATTGAGAACGTAAGACCAAGAACGATTAAGCACCCTGTCTAAATCTGTTTTTGAAAACAGGATATATAAGCCTATTCTTTGAGATAGAATGCTGTGAAATTAGAAGTGTGAGTCTTGCTTTAATAAAAACAACCGTTCATGAGGACTCACTTGGAACAGAAAGGTCTTCCATTTGTTCTGTTATGTGTGTGGTGAGATAACATGAGGCATTGTGTGAGTACAGAGCCTGCATTCCTCAGTTATCCAAGGACAGAGACTTGTGCATTCTGCTCCGGGACATAGCTGCTTGGTGATAAAATAAATATATACATGGGGCCCGGCACCGTGGCTCACTTGGTTAATCCTCCACCTGTGGCGCCAGCATCCCATGTGGGCACTGGGTTCTAGTCCCGGTTGCTCCTCTTCCGGTCTGGCTCTCTGCTGTGGCCCAAGAAGGCAGTGGAGGATGGCCCTAGTGTTTGGGCTCCTGCACCCACATGGGAGACCAGGAGGAAGCACCCGGCTCCTGGCTTCAGATTGACATAGCTCTTGCCGTGGCGGCAATTAGGGGAGTGAACCAACTGAAGGAAGACCTTTCTCTCTGTCTCTCTCTCTCACTGTCTAACTCTATCTGTCAAATAATATATATATATATATATATGTGCATATATATGTACATATTCTAATGAAGTTACAGAGTGCCTGTCAGATAAATGCTTACATAAATATTTGTAATAGTGCATAAGCATTTGGTATATATGAAATCTAGCCAGTTCATTCAGAAGTGTTCCCTTGCTTCTCATGCCCTGTGCAACCTCCCCTTGAGACTATGAGAGAAGAGGTAACTTTTGAAAAAAGAAACAACTCCTTATAGGGAACTCCCAGTATAACTAGAATTCTGATTCTCTTCTATGTGCTCTTATCCTTTGCTGGCAAACAAAGTGCATTTGGCAGTGGTCTCTGAAATCATGTTAATGACCTTGCAATGCTTTGTTAGACTTCTTTGTTGATAGAAATCTAAAGGACATACTATTTGTGGATAAGAAAGACAAACAGCTTAGTTGGCAAGCAGTCCCAAATTAAGTGTAGATTCCAAATAAAAATAAACTAATTTTTTGATTATCAGCAAACTGAAAAAAAAAAACAAAGCAGCCTCCACTTTTTTGCAATGGCCAGAATAATTTTCTCTCTGTTTTCTGCAAGTATGGGCAGAAAACTTAAGTTAAAAATAATTGTGCTTCTAGGACTCTCAATCAAAGCATAATATAGGACTTTTTTGTGCTTACATACTAGTTAACAATAAAGCTGTGGTAAGAAAGAGAGGAAAGAGGAAAGATTCAATAAGTATCCACACAGGGCTCCAGAAAATGCACACCAACCCATGAGTTCAGTGTTGTGTGCTGCATGCATGGGTCATACTGGGATGTCCACATAAAGATTAAAAGATAGGCCCCAGATTTAGATAAATGATAGGTCACAGATTTAGTAGTGTTAGAGCTGAAATTCAGATAAACCAAGACATCCTAAAAGACAGCTCTTTTAATCAAATTTCTTTAGTTACAATGAACAAGGAAGATTTGATTTGTTTCAATGAAAGGGTTTATTGGAAGGCACTTATAGATAGAAATTAATTGGAAACCCTCCAGAATCAAGTTCATAAATCTCTCTGTCTCTCCCTGGGTTACTCAGATGTCCCATGCAAGGCAACTGTGCTCCTTTCTGTGCATCTCCTTTGCTTCCATCTCCCATTCAAAAGGTTTCTTCATAATGATCATCCCAATAGAGCCAACAGATGCAATGACAAGACAGCAGAAGATAGTGGAATTAGTTAGGTCATGCAAATGATCAGTAACTGTGATTAAGCACTCAAGAATTAGAATCTCAAGTAGACTCATGCTTTTCCAATTTTAGGATCTTGTTTTACCAACATTGAATGTCCTGGTCTCTGTCCTAGTGATGTGTTCTCAAAAATCTCTTCCCTGACCACACAACTTTATAACCTCCAGACCCTTGCCCTCATCTATTTCTATCCCTTTCCATCATCAGCCTGGTTTTCCTCAAATCTGTCATATATATTATGTGTTCATTATTTGAATTCTACATCAAAAGACAAACTTTGTGCAGGCAATAACTTTATGTTGTTCACTATCACATCCTATTTCTTGAACATAAAACTAGCACATGGTTGCTACCCAACTAATATTTGTAAAGTGAATCAACAAATGGATATCTTTCAAGCAAAAATCAAAAGTAATAGTTTCATTTAATTCATTTCAATCAAACTATAATCAACATAACTTCCTGTTTGCACATTGTTATTAGAAATTTTTAACTTAAATTTTGTTTTTCCTGCACAGGCAACGTCATGATTGTTAGACGGTACTTTATTTCTTCTCCATCAGTTGATTCCTTCACCACCAATGATCCTTGGAGAGCTTGGAAAAGAAATCCAGCCAGCAAAGTCCTAGCAGTTCAGGGAACAGTTAAACCACTGGCATGTTCTTCAATTACGAAGGAACACAGCGAAGAAAATGTGCTTGCAGAAGATTCCTTTATGAGCAATAGTTCCAGCCATGGAGCTTCTCCTGGGCATGCCTTGGGTTGCAGGTAATGTACCATAGGCCTCAAATTAGTTCACAGGCCTGCTGGGAGCATACTGAGAGCTCCCCCGGAGGAGCAGAGCTTCTCACGTGGTAGAGAGACAATCAAAGAGTATATCATTTCAGAATAAATCCCACCTCACCTAAGGCCATTGGAGGAATTAAACAAAAGGAATTTTTACTTAGATCAAGCTGTAGCCTCTCCTTAATGCCTCTATTAAGTGGAAGGTTTAGTCTTCATTTATTCCTCACATATTAATGATCATACTCTGAGCCAAGCATTGATGACACAAGATTCAACAAAATAATTCATTCTGTTTGAAGCAGTCAATGAGTGGCAAAGACGTCCAGGTAAATTGAGCAGTGCAATCAAACGTGCCTCAGGGAGAGACATGGGACTGCAGAGAGTGAATGCAGAACCCCTTCAGAGAGCGCGTGTTCCTGTGGAGGCTGGTGCTCGATGGGCTTGGGGCAGACAACAATGAAAAGAGAGCAAAGCAAAAACCCCAAAACCGTCTAACAGAAAACTAATCTGCTACCCAGAATACATAAACTGGTGCTGAGGGAGTTGAGAGCTGCCTGAGAATGGGAGGGATGTGAGAGACCAGTTGGAAGACAGGCTTGGGGTCTCATGGAGGAAACCTGGCTCACGGTGGGCAGCCGCCTCTCTTACAGTAAGGTCGTTTAACATCAAGCTCCACGTACCTGCTCTTCTACTTGTTTGAGTAGAAGAAGGAAGATGAAGAAAAGGGGACTTGAGTTTATTACAGTGAAGAGAAAATGGAAGGACATGGTTTCTTCCATTTAAAAAAAATAATAATTTGGTCATTTATTTGAAAGGCAGAGAACAACAGAGAAAGAGGGAAATATATCCTCCACCTGCTGGTTCACTTCCCAAATGGCCACAACGACCAGGAGCCTGGAACTCCATCCAGGTCCCCCCAGGAGAGCCCAAGCACTTGGGCCATCTTCCACTGCCTCCCAGGCACATTAGCAGCGAGCTGAATCAAAAGCAAAGCACATGAGACTTGAACTGGCACTCAGGATGCTGGAATCACAGGTGGTGGCTTAACCCACTGCTCCACAACACCAGGCCCCGGAACATGGTTTCTGGGAGAAGTGAATCATCTGAATCAGGACTCTGGAAAGAAAAAACTAAAAGCAGTGAAGTGAGTGAGGGTGGGAGGTGAGAGGCTCCATCGCAAAAATGCCTTTCCATGAATGCTAAGGAGTGTGGGTTCTGTCCTGTAATCGGTAGAGAGCTGCTAAGAAGACAGGGCACCTGAAAACTTTCTAATATTCAGACAGTGTCATATTTGCTTTGAATACTTTCTTTTTTTTTTTTTAATTTTTGACAGGCAGAGTGGACAGTGAGAGAGAGAGACAGAGAGAAAGGTCTTCCTTTGCCGCTGGTTCACCCTCCAATGGCCGCCGCGGCCGGTGCGCTGCGGCCGGCGCACCGCGCTGATCTGATGGCAGGAGCCAGGTACTTATCCTGGTCTCCCATGGGGTGCAGGGCCCAAGCACTTGGGCAATCTTCCACTGCACTCCCTGGCCACAGCAGAGAGCTGGCCTGGAAGAGGGGCACCGGGACAGAACCGGCGCCCCGACCGGGACTAGAACCGGTGTGCCGGTGCCACAAGGCGGAGGATTAGCCTAGTGAGACACGGCGCCGGCCTCAAATACTTTCATTTATGAAAAAAATGTTACTAAATAGAGAATGATCTTATACTTTTATAATGACAAGTGTCATTATGAGTTTGGTTTCGTTCCTTTCAGATTATGGGTTTTGTTTTGTTTTGTTTTGTTTTGTTTTGTTTTACAGGAGAATACCTTAAACGGTTCATGGAAAAATTGAATTAAAAGATAAATTGATTTTGGTACAAAAATATACTTATATCCAAGCATATGAGATACCTTCAAAAAGATCATGGAAAATGTATGTTATGAAAAAAATCACACATGAATTTCAAAAAATTTTGCACAAAAATGAACTTATCTTTTCATTCTGTTTTTCCATGAATTTTTGAAACCCCCTCATAGTTTCATTACATACATTCATTCATTTAGCAAATGTATCCTAAGAGTGTATAGTGTGCTGGGCAGGATTTGAGGCCCTGTGGATACAGGAGGAAGCAAAATCATCACAAATCCTTACCCACATTCGAATGTATTTCTTTGTAACACGATAATCAGTAAACATGAAGATACATAAAATGTATATTATACTACATGCTAAGTACTAATGAAGAAAATTAAGAAATAAAAAGGGCAGATTAGAAGAGCAAGAGTTATTTAAATGTTTGATATCATGGCAAAAAAAAAAAAAAACAAACATGTTTTACTATTTGAGAGGGGATTGGAGAGTCTTGATGATGCCTGTGAAAAGAGACGTGCCTAGGAACAGGACTGGAGCGTTCAAGGTAAGGCAAGGAGGCCATGATGACCACTGGAGCCAGTACTCCTAAGAGCAGAAAGATAGGAAGTGAAGGAGTCAAGGATTGCCTGCCACCACCTTCCAACTACTCTGGACTTAAACTGTGTGAGGTGGGCACAAAGCATGCTCTTTTCATTTTTTAAAAAAATGGTCATATTGGAAGCCCTATTATGCAGGATGATAAGAGAACAATACCAAAATAAGGGGATCACATTTAAGGCTATAAAATAATAAAATGAAGAAGTGGTCATTTTTTGACTGAAGGTGAAAAATGTGGATGTGATTTCTGGAAGGGTTTCAAAGATAGGACCAAAAAGTTGTGCTGGAGGGTCAGATGTGGGATATAGAAACAGGAAATGTAAAATCAGCCCCTGGGATCCAACAATCATGTGTCTTCAAAGAAGGAAAAGAGAAAGGCAGAGATGTGTCTTTTGCCTTTAAAAATAGTAAAACTGGGGCCAGCGCTGTGGCACAGCTGGTTGATGCTCCAGCCTGAAGCGCCAGCATCCCATATGGGCGCCGGTTCGAGACCCCGCTGCTGCACTTCCAATCCAGCTCTCTGCTATGGCCTGGGAAAGCAGTAGAAGATGGCCCAAGACCTAAGGCTCCTGTGCCTGCGTGGGAGACTCAGAAGAAGCTCCTGGCTCCTGGCTTCGGATCGGCGCAGCTCCAGCCATTGTGGCCAACTGGGGAGTGAACCAGCAGATAGAAGACCTCTCTCTTTGCCTCTCCTCTCCTCTATCTGTGTAACTCTGACTTTCAAATAAATAAATAAATCTTTTTAAAAATTAAAAAATAAAAATGGTAAAAATAGAAATATATGCATAATAAAAACTTATTATATATGGTTTATTAAAAGAGTTATATATTTATGGTAAAAAGAAAAAAGAATAAAACTTACAAATTGGGCATTTGGCCTACATGTTAAGATGCCTCCGTCCCACATTGGAGTACCCTGATTTTATTCTCAGTTGCAGCTCCTGACTCCAGCTTTTAGTCAATGCAGACCCTGAGAGACAATGTATATAGCTCAAGTAATTAAGTTCCTGACACCTGCAAGGAAGACCTGGATTACATTTCCAGCTGTTAGCTCTGGCTCCGGGCCAGCCCCAGCCATTGCAAGCATTTGAGGAGTGCACCTGCAGATAAGAGTTCTCTCTCTGTCCTTCTGTGGGTGTCTGTCTGCCTCTTAAATAATGTCTTTAAACTTTCAAATTGCAAAATAATTGCAATATATAAAATGAAAACTATAAGAAGGAAAATCCTCCATAATGCCACTACCTAAATAACAGCTATTTAGTTTTTGAGAGATTCCTTATCTGTCAAATATTCTACATATTTTGAAATCATACGGTGCATGGATTATCTTTTATTTCTTGCACTTAAACCATTCCATTCTCATAGACCTACAACACTGACAATTATAGTACTATAAGTTTTTCTATTTCAGCTATAATGTTTTCTAACCTAGCCAATATATATAATTTATTATTTTTCTGGACCAAAATGTTTTCCCATTTCCAAGCTGCTAACTAATAAACTACTTAAAATGTAACCCATTCTTAATGTAGAAGTCAGTTTAATTTGAAAGATTGAGCCCGTTGCAGAGTTTGAGAAGAAAGTCAGTATTAGGCTTAAAATCAACAGCTAGATAGGCATGAAATCCACTAGATAAGAATTGTTGAGTAGGAATTAAGCACGTATTTTTATTGGAGTCCTTTTTTATTGTATTTTATGCTTTCAGGAACTAGCTAATAATATAGTAAGTTATTACATTATTCTTCTGATTGGGAAATTCATTTACTTCTTAATATCTTTCAAAGAATTTTACCAAGATTTATTGAGAAACAATTTGTTTGAGCTGAATTTTGGATCATATCAGACATCATGCCCCTTTGCTTATGAATTTTCCCTTTATGGTACATAGATAATATTTTCAGAATAATGCCAGTGTCAATATCTAATAGGAGGCTAAGCCTCCACCTGCAGTGCCAGCAACCCATATAGACACCAGTTCTTGTCCTGGCTGCTCCTCTTCCAATCCAGCTCTCTATTTATGGCCTGGGAAAGCAGTAGAAAGATGGTCCAAGTGCTTGAGCCCCTGCACCCACTTGGGAGAATAGGAAGAATCTCATGGCTCCTGGCTTCAGATTGGCTCAGCTCCAACTGTGGCGGACACTTTGGCAATGAACCAGTGAATGGGAGATCTTTCTGCTCCCTCTCTCTGTCTATAGCTCTACTCTCAAATAAGTAAATTATATATATATACATATATATATATATAAGCAACAAAGCTTTCCAAAAACTAAAGATAAGATTTTAATTTTTACCTAATTTTGACATAAAAATCCAACTTTTCCTCCTGTGTTTAAGAAAAAAAAATAATCTCAGGATATTGACAAGAAGAGGAGAAAGAATCTATATAAATAGTTAAAACTGGATGGAAGACACTACATGCATTACAATAAATATATTCTCTTTTTTTCCAACTCAATCTGGTTAAGGAGGCAACCTCTGGAGTCAGATGTCTAAAATTCCAACACCATCATTTACAAACAACAAGGATGTGGGGAAAATTATTAGTCTGTCCTGGGCCACAATGTGTTCTTCAGTAAAGAGTCATAAAAGTATGCACCTCATAGATTTGTGAAGATTACACGAAATGAATAAGTTCTCACTAACTGATCTGAGCATAGGGAAGCACCGCCCTTACTTTCTCCCAAGAGAGGGTGCTAACGTGTTTTCCAAACATGAGCCACCAAATGAAATTCAGTGAAATCAGGGCTTTATTGAGGAAGAAGAATGAGGAGAAGGAGGAGAGAGAAAGGGCAATCATTTTAAACATTGTTCTTTCGACTTATTCCTGAGAACAGTTTCTCCTGCTATGTGTCAAAACTGCAAAATTTTAGAAGGAAAGGGAGAAATGGGGAAAATGAAAAAATACGGTCCTTCAAAATAACACTGGGCCATTGTTTTTGACCCTCTCTCTTTTATCATTCAGATAAAATGGGTGTTCAATAATCGAAAGTCAAAAGGAGCAAGTTAGTATGGTTTAGACCTTTCTCTCTGTAAATATCAAGCTAGGGGCAGGTGTTTGGCCTAGCCATTAAGATGATGGTTAGGACACCAGCATCCCACATCAGAATACCTGTGTTTGATACCCACTTCCAGATCTGGTTTTAACTTGGTGCAAAAGCAGACCCTGGCTGCGGGGTGGGGAGATAGCAGATGATGGCTCAAATTATTATAGCCCTGCCACCATGTGGGTTACTTGCAAAGAGTGCCTAGCTCCTGGCTTTGGTCCAGCCAAGCCCAGGTCATTGCATTTCAGTCATTTGGAAAATGAATCACCAGATAAGATCTTTCTCTTTCTGTCTCTCATCCCAAATAAATAACAAATTTTTAATTAAAAAATAAACATCAAGCTAATAATCTTAATGTGTAACAGTTTTAATTTTTTATTTTATTAGCACTATTCATTGGGCTTAATTAAAAAGTCAATTCATATATATATATAATATATGTATAGTCTTAGATTACTGTTGAACAAAAAGTATTACAATACATTTAAAATGAAATTTTAACACTATAGACAACACTTAGTGATTGGGAAAAAAAACAGTAAATGTTTTGTGTAAAGACTCACTTAAATGTCTTCTTTTTCTTCCCCCATTTTGGTTTCTGTAGGGACAAGACAAAAACAGTCAGTTTCCTGTTACCCAAAAATTCAAGTTCTTTGAAATATTCAGCAAGTGAGACCCCAAAGCAGCTAAGTATCATTGCAGAATAGGATTGTGGGTGGTAAAATGTAAGAAGCAGTTGATTCTCAAGAAATGGGAATACCAAAGTCAAGTTAGCTCAATGTCTTCCTCTGCAAAGAACCTTGGCAAGATGTCCAGTAGGACCCCAAAAATACTCACTGATGGATCAATGGACTTGCTCAGCCAGAGAATGAAAGTTTACTTTTTGTTGTTGCTGAATACCACGGACTGATGTGTGTGCAGTGGCTATTGTAATCTATGCAGCGTGTGAACTACCAAATGTGATTGTGTCCTCAGCTTGCAGTGTCTGTTTTATGCCATCAGGAAATTCTGCTATTCACATTCTAAGTGTCACTTTCCAGAGGAAAGTACACCAGGTATAAGAAAAATGTTCTGCTTCTGATTAATGGCATAAAAAGCAACCGTGGCTGACCTTGTAATTCACCGTGTATCGCTGTTTCACTGATGCTAGTTCTTTGGGTTAATAGCCTGTATCACAGGTGTGTGAGCACAGACACAGCAAACCCTGCAGCTCACATTGTGGACTCAGAGCCACTAGGAGCTGGCTAAGGGCGAAGACACCAAACCTGATTTGGAGGAGACACAAAAGTGCTTTATCATTATTCAAGGTCTGGAAATC